TGTCAAACTGTTGGCTGATACAGTAGTCAAGCCAAAGTTGTCTGTTGGTGGTAGTGTTGTATCCTTGAATGTTATGTGTTGCAATAGTCAAGTACTGTTGTGTGTTTGTGTGGTTAGTTTGGTTGATGTGATCAGTTGACATGATTAAGAAGTGTCCATTGCCACTGTATTGGTTATAGGTGGCATGTCAGATGATGTAGTAGAAGTATTAAATATTTTCCATGTTGGTGTAGGTAGTGGTGGAAGATTAAGTAGAAAATCTGGGATTGTGGGAATTGTGTAGAGTTGTCTAAGAGCTTGCATTGTTGGTGTTATCTGTGATTGTAGTATAATTGGAAGTGTGAGTTGAATGTTGTTTTGAGTTAAGGCTGACTGGACCTCTTCATTAGTATTTGGTATGGGTGGAAGAGGTTGTTTGTTCTGAGTAGGTTTGTTGGTATTAGTATTGTTAGTTTGATCTGTAGCATGAGTGAGATTATTGGTAATATTTATCCAAGATGGTGGTAGTTGCTTAAAGTAAAAGTTTTGTTGAAGTGTTTTAACAATTTGGGTAAGATGTTGAGGTGTTGTAATTGGTAATGTAATGTTAAGTTGTGCAAGTTCTTGATTGTCTGTAGGTAAGGCAGGTTTGTCTGTGGGGTTTGCATGCATTATATGGTTAGGCAGTGGGAATCAAACACGATAATGTTGTGAAATCTCATCGAGAAATACTTTTGCTAGTGTATCATCAGTTATTGGATAGGTAAATTGTGAGCTAGTACGGATGAGTTCAGTCTTGTTTGGTAGAGGTAATTTAGTGATAAAGTAGTCACTGGGGAGTAGCTTGAAGATGTAGTACTCTTTTAGTTGTGCTACTGCTTCAGCTAATGTAACTTTGGATGTAGATGTGTTAAATGGAAAAAGTCCTCTGACTCTGTAGTAGAGTTCCTGATAGGTGGTAGGTAGTGGTTGTTTGGGTGGTGGAAGTTCAAAGTATGAGCTTTGGATTGTAGTAAAAGTATAATAGTCAGCAAGTTTGCATCTAAAATATAAAAGATATTGTAGTGATTGTCTACTCGTAATTGGGAAATAAGTTTGCAATTCTGGAAGGAGTTCTTGGTATCTATCCGGTAATATTGGGAGTTTTGCAAAATAGTTATCTGTTAATTTATCAAACTTGAAAATTTTTCTGAGTGCATTGACAGTAGCTCTGGTATATGATCTTTGTGTAATAGGGAGTGTAAATGGTAAAATATTCTGTATATGTTGTGGAATTTGATTAGGATCTGGTGGTAGTAGTATAAGTTTTTCTTAGAATGTGTTGTTAATTGTAGTTCTAATTGCTTTGGGTGTTTGTTCATCCTTATTTTGGATTTGTAAGAAGCCTCTCGCATAATAAATAGTTTTGTAAATTATGAATGAGGTATAGGTAGTAAAGTTGATATTGGATAGATATTGTGATATAAGCATTTGCTTAAGCATAGAATTGATAGTTTTGCGAGTATTTGCATCTGTGAATGTAAT